AATAGAAATGCTGCATGGCCAGCGGAAAAGGGCGGACACCAGCAGTGACAGAAAGGGCGGACACATCTTAGGAAAGAATTGAGAACCCCTAACAGTAAACGTTTTGGGGAATAACGATTGTATTCCGACGCCACTGTGAAAACTGGCTCGATCTGCTCTTGTCAAGCCTGGCAAGTCTAGTCTGACAAAGGTCCAAAGGATGCTCACCCAACACGGGGATTTTCCCCATAGGAGAAATCACACCAGCCTTCAGCTGATGAAAGTTGCACATCGGTGGCCAAAATTGGGCACTCTTGCCTAGCATCGGTTTTTGAGATTCGATTCGAGCGGATCTGTGCAGGTGGTTGCACTGCAAGACTTCTGCATCCTGCACAGAAGATCTTCATTCCATCAACAGCCATTAAACATATTGGTGTATGAACACGTATGAAACCACTGTTATGCAGAAGTCCTGCAATCGTGCAAAGGCACGACAGATTGGTACGAAAGGGATCCAAAGGGCAGCTGTTCTTCTTGCAGCTACGAAGACTGGCTATGGGCATCAGCCGCACGTTCTTATGCGACAGGAGTTCTCTTGGGTCACTCCATTGAAAATTCGCAAGTGCAACCTGCCATGCCGTGCCTGTTTCAGTGGCCAAGCTTGCCGCAACAACGCCCAGAGTCATGGCTTGCGATACAAACCAAGAAAGAATCCAAATGCAGCTGCAAGCCATCATCTCAATACAAACAAGAAAAAAAACACGTCTGGCATCTTCTGGCGACCTCCAATGGTCCATTGAAAGCACCCTTCCACAAAGAGAATTGACTCAAGCTCAGACCTGTGGTCAAACATGCTATATACTCACAACGAGTCAACACATCCAAAGCTGAGCGTCGGCGTGCTTCCACAGGGAAAAAGATAGATTCTGCTAGAGTGAATGGCACTCGGCCGAATGAGGGAAAAACAAACGAAAGCTTCCTACGTTCGCAGTTGCAAGCGTGTTCAAACAAATAGACTAAGCAAACTAAGCACAGTTGGATTTTATTGCCGCTGCCACTTCCGACCCCTCAGCAGGTAGAAGCCGTCTAAGTTCAAGTCGTCAAAGCGCTGAAGGGCCTTTCGAGCTTTTCGCAAGTGCATGTCAGAGTGACATGAAACGAGGACAAACAGGCACAGTCACACGCCTTGATATCACTAAGGACTTACTTTGCAGTTGCTTTGGGCAAAGGTGGGTAGGTCACGAGCACCAGCAAACAAATGAACCTGGGCAAGCTCTCCCGGCAGCCCACGAACCACCGTCAGAGTTGACTGCTTGCTGGCTCTTTTTGCATGCAAGCAGCGCCATCGCAGGCATCAGTGGTGTGATGGCCAAAATGCATAGTGGTGCTACCCAGTCTGGTACTGGTTTAGGTGTTGGCACACCTTCAACAATATGCGCAGGGGACTTGATTTATCACGTTCAACTTCTTAGTGACAATTTCTACGAGCAATCTCTTGGCCTTTGCATTGACAACTGAAGGGTTGTTTCGGTGGTGATGAAGGAAATGTGTCAAAAGCCTGCCTGTCAAGGGGTCGACGTTGGTACCAACCTCAGGGATGCGAGCGTCAATGGATCGATAGACAGGTGAACATTCAAGAGAGAACTAGATCAATAGACAAATTTGATATATATATATATATGTGTGTGTGTGTTCTTTTATTTATTTATGTATGTATAGTAAATATAGCAGAGTAGTAGGCTTCTCAAACATTCTCAAACAACCAGCTGGCGGGTACTGAACAGGCGGTTGGATCGACGGGATTTGCAACATTGCTGCCGAAACCGTTCAAAGACATGAATGATTACCTGCTTGGACAGTGCTCATGACTGGCAAGGTCGATACGCCTCAGATTGAGCGTGTCAATAAAGGTGAATATCAGCGGCTGGCGATCAATATCATGCGTGGGCGTATGAGCATAATACAAAGAAAAAGTCTAGGCCGGAAAAAAACGCCAAAACAAAAACAAAAAAAATAGAAGAACACGGCTAGTTGCCAATAAAGTTGGCGGATGTCGCCACTATATACTTGTCCGGTGTTCATGCGCCCATCCTCAAGTTTTTCTGGGTGCTATCTGCGCTGCGTGCAGGTCACAATCTGGTCGACACCAGGGCAGCAAACATTGTAATTGCCATGGGATCCGACTGCACGATGATGGCCTTGAGGCATCACAGAACGGCGCATTGAAATACCTTGAGGCCAAACCCACCCAAGTGATGCTTCATGATGATGTATCATAATACCATCATAACATATATATATATATTATAGCCATAGCATAACATAATATTTTTTGTGTAATCATAGAATATCCGCACGCAGGGAAAGGTTCAAAAATAGGTCGAGAGTTTCAGCTACTCGTGGTCGTCATTTCACCCCGACTCGTGGTCGTCGCCTTCGTGGTTGCTCCGCAGGTACTTGAAAAGCGCCGACTCGCGGAAGCTCTTGAGCACAAAGCTTGGAGCACCCACCTGCTGACGGGAGAAGCTGTCTTCAGCTGAGACATCACTACTCCCAGCGGTGGAGACATGTTGCGCAGTGCCGTTGTCCTATATAATTCGTGCCCCAGTCGCTTTACCAGTTGGTCACAGTGTGGACAGGCTCATGCTTGTGATGATCGTTCATTTTGTTTGAAGGTCTGCTTGAAGGTTAAGCCAGCCTCCAGTGGTACATCGGGGAGGCCATGCATGTTTGGGTGCAGCGCCTGAGTGCAAGTCCCTTCATGCCCTCCGTAACCCACAAACAGGGCAGATTGGCAAAGCTGTTGCCCACAGTCTGCACAGTAACACTGGGGATGGCCGGGATGGCAACATTAGACTGAACTGGCACAATATCGTCAAAATGACCCAGCAGGTTGTGGAACCTGGAGCAGCAGGATACAAGACAGATCAACTCAGGAGGGCCATTCAGACTAGTGACTATTCAGGACACCTCGGATTTTGTTTGATACAATGTTTGATGACCCTGCCGAACACCATCAAGCCATCAAGCCACATTCCAAACAAGCGCATGGAGGAGCATTGCAGACACCACCACAGGCACAATGACCTTGGCCAACATGAGGCAAGTCTCACGATCCGCCCTGCTTGGAATTGGTGCAAATGGGAGGGACCATCAAGTCTCCTCCCCTTCACGCGCGCAGAAGTCTCTTTGCTGTCCCCTGCCTGCGGGGCCCAACCAATGAAGGTCAGGGTAGGATATGCCATCAACCTTAGCAAAATGAAGCTGGACGGTGGTGGAAGGGGCTTCGTAGCAAAGTGTTTCTTTAAGGCAAGGGGAGGTCTGATAGTTGCCAGGACCACAGCGGGCTTGCTTTTCTTCTCTGTCCCATGCAGGAATGGCCCTGGACCACCATCAACCTAAATGCAAGTGAAGCGCATAACACCAGCAGACATCTTCAACGTGCCCTCCCAGGGAAAGCTTGTACCTGTCACAAGATCGAAAAGAGTCGCCGGTTTTCAATTACTCGCCGGCCCAGACCAAGAGACACGGCTGCTAGTGCTGATTGGCTCTGGCAAGCCCCAGTCTCAACACCCGGAGCCAAAGGTACTGCCGGGCGCTACAGGTACTGCCGGACATTTAGATTGATACAGGTGCAACATTGGGTGCCCGCACAGGAGTGTATCTTTTTGATACTTTTTGTCTTACTTCTTCATGCAGTTGAATCAAATGCCCTCCGTGTGGGTCCAGGCACCTCGGAATGGGTCTTCGTCCAAGACCACTTCACGTCCAGGCTCAATGTCCAGAGACATGTCATCCAGCGTCTCCTCATCCAAAGTGTCTTGAGTCTTGTATCTCGTGACTCATGCGTGTTTTGCCTTCTTCCCCAAAGGACAGCCTCAATCAAACTTAGGTGCTGGGTTATTTCAGGGCACTTGGGACTTAGGGCGAAGCATACGTCCATCGGTACATGAAACTCATGAAACAAGTAAAGAATAGACCGCAGTTCCCAAGAGTCCCGGGCGTCTGCAACTTGGTGTTCAAAATAGGGAGACCCCACTGGAGACCCCCAGAGACTAGGACTAGGAAGAGGAAACATCACTTCCTCAGCCATACTAGACTCTAGACCGTTGCTAGAGTCAATAGACTCGACACATCCGAAAAAAGAGATGGACTCAGCCCTCATGCCGGTGCCCCGAGATGCCCCGACCGTCGGTTCTGTGTTCGGACGATGCGTGGGTCCCGGTGGTGCTCCACATGTCCATCACCTTGGAATGCCGAAAGCTGCAGCGTATTTCTCACGGTTCGAACCTGGGCTGTGCGGTGGTAAGCCGGCAGTGTCAAAACTAACTTTGGTGGATCTGCAAGACATATATATATAATATATATATATATATTAACCTGAAGATTCAGTGGTGGCGACCTAGGTTGGCCGGTGACTGGAAGAGAAGCCTGACATTCCTATTCAGTCCTATCAAAAACACACCATCAAATCCACAGTGTAGGAACCATCATGTAGAATCATCACTGCCTATCATTGGGGATCTAGTAGCTTTCACAAAGGGCCAAGCTCAATTCCTCAGGATGGCCTTGTGTTGTGCCTCTGCTGCAGGTCGTCACCGGCGTCACTTCCCTTCTGCCAAGATGCCGCCTGGACTTTGTTCAATCCTGAGATCTGTGCCAGAGACGGGCAATCCTATCCCTTGCACAACCTGACAAACCATGAAACTAGGACAAGCATGGACAAAGCACATGATATCGGCAACAACGCCATAATTCACAACTCATATCATGATCTCCCTCCACCGTGCTGGCCTCCAAGCAGGCCAGGCATTGACCCCCCAGGTTTTAAACCACCACTCGTCACAGTTCACAATTGTAGTTTAAACAATCTAGTATAAAATTATTGAATTATTTCATGACTAAGCATTGACCTTTGCACTGGCTCTTATAGGGGCAATGTCTGAGGTGCAACTAGGCAGCCCAAATGTTGAAAGTAGCGATGGTACACGTACTCAGCCATAGACCTTTGTTGGCAAGACTCTAAGCCTGGTTGAAACATAATTCCGACATTGACATATTCCGACAACTCTGGTTCTGAGCGAGTCCCCAACATGATGGCGTAGATGGCTGCCAGTCCTAGCGCAGCTTGGCCGATCACAATGGGAAGCTCCATAGCGCTGGAGACCGAGTCCAAACCGTCCTCGCCCAGAAATTGAATTCAGGTGAGACCTTTCAGAAAAGTGAGCACCAAGAAACCAACCCCTTTGGAAAGGCAATGTCTGTGAACATGATGAACTCAGAATGAAGCCTACCTTACTATGGGACCTGCAATGTTAGAATCGACCTGGATGTATGTGCAGCCAAAAGGCCATACCATCAAAGGCTTGCAGCGCTGTTGCACCGTGAGGGCGGCCCACAGCACCACTATTCGCCAGTCCAGGCTGGGAAATTCGTGTCACACGAAGCCTGGTGAGAAGGTGAGAAGCTTTGTGCACTTAAGTAGTCGGGTCCCCCTGAATTACATGAGGGAGTATATAATTCGCTACTAGCAACAGGATCCTAGCTAGGACGCAGGATAGCTGACGTTTCTTCAAGGAAGCTCCCCCCCCCTCGCCTGAGGGCGGCTTCTAATGATTTGGGTCCTAGATCGTTGGGGAAACTTGTCCTTGCGGGATCCTACGGGTACCCTGCGGTGGTGTGAAGGGTTCAAACAGGGCTCATCGGTTCGCTTTGACCCTAGTAGCGGACTTGGATGACCAAAAAACATCGTTTGGGGGGAGAACCAGTGCAGGATGAGTACGTCGATCTGTTCATTGAAAGTTAAATGTGTTACACTCTGGCACTCCAAAACATCAGCTCGGACTGTTCCAAATTTATCGCTGTCCTCTACAATGTTGAACATGCACTGGCTGCGGTCCAGGGTGCCCCGTAGCAGGAGCCGCATAACTAGGTGTGACAAAATTGCTCGCCAAATGAACGGAAAAGACTACCTCAGGTTCATACAATCACGGCCATTGTGCTCAAGTCACAAACACATACAAACACAAAAAACATTTGCCTCCGATTTCATCTAAGGCCACAGCTGCCACCATCAGTAGGGCTGAGCATCTCCTGCACAACTTATGGTCAGCATGTTCCAATTGTCCGACATCTTCAAGGCCATGAAACGCCAGAATTTACAATTGCAAAATGGCCGATTTCATTGACAACTTTTTTGAGATGTGTTTCCATGGTTCACTCTCTGTCCGTCAGGGGCAGGGAGCACAACAAACAGAACAAACGAGAGCCTTTGTTTGAGCGGCCAGGGCTTTACCATACTTTACGCTTCACTGCAGGCTGAATAGCACAAGCGCTTGCTGAATCTCCTGCGAGCCATTGCCATCACTATGCGCGAGGACCGGGTGGTTTTGAGAATCTATCTACAGTATCTGTGCAGTTAGCTGGCACAAGCCAATGCTGCAAAGCATGCACTCCTCTACTGAACTCCAGCGGTTTCTGCAACACAAAGCACGTTGAGGACCGATCACGTTACTTGAATAAACCACACCAAAAGATACTAAAAGCCATCTAATCTGTGCAAGCTGACTCACCAAGATCCTGACTCCAAGCAAAAAGCAAGTGCCAATCTGACCTTGAATGATGTCGGCTGGCCTGGCAGTTCCACCGCTTGACCGCTGGCCATGAAAGTACGTGTGAAAAAGCTAGCTCCCCGATGCTCCCCCAAGGTCTTGAGTCCTTTGCTCGGGTCAATTTGGCTTGTGCTGATGACATGTATATACTCGAGATAGAAAGGGCGTTTCAATGAAACCTGCCTCACTCCACCCTTAAAAAGCACAGGCTCGGCAATGATCTCTGTGATGCGCTTGTAGCCGGCTGGTTTAGCCTTGGTATCTCACAGGATCACCCGACGACCATATTCGGGTGACCCGAGAGTAAGATCTCACCAAACTGCCTCCTTTCCTCTGTTCCCTGAATCCTGGAGAAAGGGCCAATGAGGGCACGGGTGGGCTCGAACTGCCTTGGGCAAGTGACATATCCATGTCGCTTGCTTAAAGTAAGCGCAACCCTGCTTGCCTCAAGATTTCCATCCGGCTTTGGATAGAATTGGCTTGCTTTAGTTATCTTGGTTTCACATCGCACGTTTCGTCACTTTCGTCACGAACTCGTTCTGAAGTCCTCAAGCTCTGGTGACCTGATGTCAGATATCCTGAGAGACTCGAGTCTCTCTCGAATTCGGTGTGAAACACCGGGTCTCAACTTGGTGCCGCCTTTGGCATCCTTTGGCCACCAGAATCTGGCCCGGTATGTTGACACGGGATGACTGACCCAAGATGGGGACACGTTCCAGAAATGGAATGTATGAAAGCAAATCGTGCGAAATCCCTCGAAATGAAGGAATACACATTTGAAAGTCATTTGACATGTTCTGTTTCAAATTGCTTCATATGTTCTGTGTCCACACTGCATCTCTCATGCCTTGGGCGTTTGGAGCTTGCGTCGGTGGCCGCCATGGCCGTCCCGAGGTTTTGTGAAGGTCTCCTGAGGGCGTCCGACATCAACTCGATCTGCGCGCGTTTTCAGCAAAGGATTTGACAAAGAAGCCGTGCGGCCGTGCGGACAGTAACACACAGTGACCACTTTGCAAGTACACGACAGGTTTATTCAAAGGAGCCCGAAAAGAGTAGAAGAAATAGAAAAAAAGAAACGGCAACTAGAGGGTAGTCAAGTCTAAGACTCTAAGACTCTAAGACCTGGCCTTTCATTGTGTTCTTTGATGGTGCTGAGTAGTGCACTGCTATTTTCAGTTCAGTCCGGATGCACACGGTGGAGAGGGGATGAAGTTGAACAATTAAGGAACTATTTTGGAAGTGATTGTCTGCATCTCCTGGTGCACACCGACTGGCGCTGCTTTTCGCAACAAGAGATGCAGTTCAGGCGGCGCAAAGCTGTACCGCTGTACCAAATCTAAAGGCGTCTGCCCCGAGGCGTCCCGGAGTGACACGAGTGCTGGCTGCTGGCGGAGCAACCTGGCGACACATGATGTTCAAACATGTTATTACAATGTTTACACAGTGACACTTCATTCAAGGAATACCGAAAGGCAGGTGCCCGACAGAACAATTTAATTGCCTGCGAAGGAAACTGTCAGAAGCTCTCAAAGCAGCAAAGTAGGGGAAACATTCAGCATCAAAGTGCAGTTGTCATGCCAAGGAGCAGGTGGCAAAGCTCCAGAATATTGCCTGCACACAAAATTAAACTACTGATTCTTACAAGTGGCCAAGCCACAGCACGATCGAAACAGCTGACATAACAGCACTCCAAGCTTTGGATTGCATCTCTTTCAGATCCTTTGTCCGGAGTCTTGTAGAAGAAAACTCGATCATGACATTTGGACACAACGTGAGGCTCAGGCAGGATGTGGGAATGAGGTCAAGTAGGAACAAACAAATGAGGAACACATAGTCACTCCTTCACCCCACCCCCTGCCGCTTGGCATCGCTTGGCGCCTGTCCGCAAATCTCTAAGGCGACTTGCACCAGCGCAAGCGTGGTGGAGTGCAGTGCGGCCGTGACTGCAAACAAGCTGTGGGTCAGCAAAGGCCTTCAGCAGCACAGCGCAGGTGGCCAAGTGGCCCTGAGCGGCAAATTAAGGAAAGGCACTGAGTCGCAAACATTGCTACCGAGTGCTGGGGTTTAGTCACCCGGCGCTCAGTTGGAATTGGACGCTCGTCGACTGATTGTCCCATCCGCCTGCCGACAGGCGAGATGAAGAGGGCTCAGCAAGCGCCGCCCTGCGCGCATGTTGGGCCCAGATGGCAGCCGAACTGCCCGGCCATATCGGTTCCAGTGCCTCACTTCGCGAAATGCGAAGGATCAAATTCAAACAGACTTGAAACCCTACCGATTCTTGTCAGCTGCTCTGCGCTAACACCAGCATGCACACATCTACTGTACTGGCCCACATAGATACATATGCACGGGATACTTCTCTTTTGCTGGCCAGGTAGTCTGACCCAAATGAAAACCCCAAGCCACTGGCTCGCATAGAGTGTAGCAATCGCCGAGGAACTGCTGTGTAGAAAATCGGCTAAGCAAGAGATCCACAAGCTGGGTTCGCCCCAGGAACGCGGCTTCCTCGGCTGACGTACGGGGCAGATCCTTCATACAAACCAATAGATTCTTAGTCAAGAGAGGAGGCTGATCTGGCTGAGCAAAGCATCCCCACCAAGGTAACATGTCCGAATACTAATTACAACGATTGAGCTCGTAGTTCATGGCGATAAAAAAGGGCACACAGAATCAAACGACAGCAAGAAATAGACCGCCTGATCGCAGGAATCGGATCACTCATATGCCATATGCAGTAACGCATTTCTCCGAAAGTCTTTCACAGAATTGCGTGTCGAATGCGTTGTGTGTGTAGCCTTTGGATTCACAAGGATCCTTTTGGCTTTTGACACTTAAAAATTGCATGACGTATGGCTCGTCGCACCTACTGTGCCCAACGAAGCGAGGGGTGGACTGAATATCCACTTGTGCCTGCAAGTTTTTTTTTGAATTGTCCACTTGGTCCCGTGGTAGCTGGAACATGCGAACGAACAAGCCAGAGAATTGGTTTGCTCACTGCAGTCACGCATCGTGTGCATGTTCGTTTTGAGCCTCGGCATTTCTTTGGACTCGGAACCTCTGGCTTTCAGGGACTCGAACTTGACGTTGGTTGGACCTCGTTGCATACACCTCTTTAGGTTTCCTGGTCACCTAGGCCTCTTCGAGTGGCAAACCACATTTCGTAGAAACTCGTCTCGAGTGTGTGTGTGTGTGTGTGCGTGTCGTTGGTGCGCAGTCTAAAAGGTGCCAGCATGGCCGAGCATCATGCAAGGGCGTAAGCTGGTCAATATTTGTTACCAGGACTTGCGCTGGATCAAGACCCAGAAGCGCTCGGCAAACTTCACCTGCGTTGCACGGCCAACGGCTAAAGCTCTGCAGAGTTTCAACTGTTTCCTTTGCCACCCAAACCCGGCAAATTTGACTGCACTTGAATTACAGTAGGTATTCAGGGAAGGCTTGCATATTGTCTCCGTGCCAAGACACGATGATTGTCATTGATTGCCCACCACAAAGGTGTCTGCAAATTGATGTCCCTTGCGTAGAGGCGTGCCTTGGCACTCAACAAAGTTTTGCAAAGAGGCAGGGACCCGCTGCCAGCTGCAAAATGCAAGCAGGACCCACCGCTCGCATCATCCCTCACATCCACATCTGCACCTTCATGGATGAACTCCACAGCTGCAGCGACGTGGTGGAGAAATTCAATGTCCCCTTGGAAACTTTTGGACAAAGAGGCGTAGTAGGCATCCATGCAAAGATCCAGCACAGGATACACCGAGCCCTTCAAGCGGCTCCACACAGGCTCCCCCTGGCCTGCTGGACCGAGCTCATAACCACCCAGCGGTCCAAAGGGATCATAAGTCGGACGCTCCAAAGGAGCAAAGGCCGGCATCCTTGGCGCCCTTCGGATTGGAGAGCCTCGGTCACTACGTGCATCCTGCCGGTCCAGGTCCCGATGGTCCGGTGAGGCAAAGCCCTTGTGCATCGAAAGCCCTTCAGTTGATGCCGCAGCAAAAGTTTCACATTGTGATCTCGAGCCGGAATTGCGATCAGGAGCAACCGACGAAAAGGCAATTGCATTAAATACACTTGACGAGTGATGACCACAAGCATGCTGCTGGTTTTTACGCAATTGGGATCGATGCTCTTTGTCGTAGCGAACATCTCAGTGCCAACAGTCATAGGGTCATATAGTTATTGATGTGTCATCTATCTATTATCTGTCTATTGGCTAATCAATGCTAATCATATGCAGCACCCGCATTGGCCAGTCTGTGCGTATGATATTCCATGAGTGTGGCATGCCTCAAGAATGAAAGTTCAACCATTGCAACAAGTAGTGACCAGTAGTATCTCAGGTTGTGAATGCGCCTGGAGTGGGCGACTTCATCTCAATGTCTCATATCAGGTTCACTGATTCACGTATGTGTATATATATATATACATATGGTACCCCCCACAGATGTCTACCTCTTTTAGTTGTGATTGGTATTTGCGATGTTTTATGCACAGTGTTTCTGGATTGAATTTTGAGGTGAAAGCGGGTGCCATATATATATATATATGTTTGTTTGTTTGTAGTGTTTCATGATTCATGATTGTTCTTGATACCTAATAAACATAAATCTATATTCCCTTGGCACCCCCTCGTGGAGTGCAGGTGAAGATTATATTACATCTAAAACACAGTAACACGATAACATTATTTAAACAATGTTAATATTAAGAAGTCTTAGGATTTTCCTGGAACCAAGAACCAAGATCGCACAGAAAATTTTGGGGATAATCGTGCTTCTTGGTTCCAAGAAAACCTATCATCAGAGCCAAGATTTTCCCCAAGACTTTCTGCGCAATTCTTAAGAAACTATTGTTCCCGAAGACTTTCTGTGTACCGTGTACCTGTCAGGAACGTAGTGTGTAAATTTGATAGAAGTACTCTCACTATGCCCGTCAGTGCAAAAATAACTCAATGTGTGAAGAATTTAATGGTCAAAATGCTAGTTAGTGAGATTGCAACTCTATTCTTCTCTTCTTTTCTCCCCTCCTCCCTTCTCTTCTCTTCTGTTCTTTGAGAAGAGATTGGAGGGAAATGGAGGACTTGAGAGGAGGGAGACACGAAAGGTAGGACAGCGGGAAGAGAAGAGAACGCGAGAGGCAGGAACAAAAATGCAATGTTCGACATGGTGATTTATCCCCTCGGAGGCGACCTTTCGTAATATAATTTCATACGCACTCTTAATGTTCAAACATATGCTCTCGAAATGTTCAAAAAGATTCTTAGGAAAACAACCTTGCCCCATGGCTCAGATCATCGGTGAGCATTAAATCGGAGCATCATAGGATTTGAACTATCCTGAAACCATAAGAGGCTCACGAAGACGTTCCCAGGAGAGAATTGACGTGCTTCACAAAACAAGCTCTAGGTTGTATCCCCTCGGGGAACACCTTTCGTGATTCGAATTTCATATGCACTCTTTCTGAATGTTCAAGAGGGTTTCAACTATTCTGAAATCATGAGAAGCTCACGAAGACGTTCTCCAGGAGAGAATTGAATTTAGTGGGGGGGAGGGGGGGGGTCTGTATTGAAAAATCAATTCCAAGGGGGCGGGGGAGGGGGGAGGGCCTGTATTGAAAAATCAATTCGGGGGGGGGGTTGAATTGAATGATCAGTTATTAGACCCGGACGCGCCAACACTTGCTTCGCAAGGCAAACTCAAGGTATCCCCTAAAGGGCTACCTTTCGTGATGAAAGAGAAGAGAAGAGAAGAGAAGAGAAGAGAAGAGGAAGAAAAGCTACTGAGATGTCATGCACACCAGTGAACCTGTCAATTGTCAAGTTACTGTGTGGTTGTCACAGTTGTAAAGCATTCAATGTATATAACAATAAGTTGCATTCATCAAAACTCACGTGAAACTTGCAGTTGGCACAAGTCATCGTATGACTTGCGGTGATTGCTAAAGTATTTTTTGTAATATACACAGGTATTTGCGTGAACAGCTACGTTACTTTGTAATATTCACAGTCGTATAACATGTCAGGTGTACAAACCTACTGTAATAGTGTCAGTTTATTAACTCACCACTCACATGGTCCGTTGCATTCATCAGTGGTCACAACTAAAAGTGTGAGCTGCAGCGATTATATCTAATAGTGTCAGCTGTCATAATCATAAGTGAACCTCTCAATTGTAATGTTTATCTGTGATTGCCAATTGTCAAATAATCAACTCATGTATTGAGATTTCTAACTTCAATTTGAGAGTTGCATTCATCTATTCTCACCCTTACCCTTGCATCAGATACAACTGAAGGATTGAGAAGGCTAACAATGTACAATTGTCTTCATCAAATCTCATATGCACTTGCGCATTGTAAGTTGCAATCTTAACATATGATATTATCGATTGTCATGCACACAAATAGTTATGTGAATTTATGTGTGATCCTGTGATATTCACAAATGTCTAACTTTAAATTCCTAGTTTGGGTTGTTTAATTGCAATGTCACAGTGCAAAGAACAAACTAACAACTCATATAGTCAGCTGTATTCATCAATTATCATACGAGCAATTGCAGTGGGTGCAGCTGACAGTATGAATTGTAGTGCTCCAAAAAATTGTTGTTCATTGTCATGTACACAATTAGCTCTGTAAATTGTTATGTTTCTTGTGGGGTCTTCACACTTGTACACCATGAGATTCATGCTGTAAGTTGTAATATATGAGCTGCGGACAATATTACTTTCGTAGCCAAAGGTCATTTGACATGGCTATTGTTTTTTGACGGTGTCCATATCGTTTCCCAGGATACGCTTCACCTACTCCTTCACACTGGCTTTCATTTAAATTGCACAACGCACCTTTCCAAGGTCAACTCCATCCCTCCAAGTAGTCAGTTGAATTGCTTCCTTTGTGTGATTGTTCCTGCCAGCCGTAAGCAGAAGGGTTCGCAGACAGTTCGCAGGGATGCACCGGTTTTTTTGCCATTGCTCTACTCTGCACAGGAGGAATCAGACGTTGAACATGAAGCGCTGGGCACTGGGCATGCAAAGTCTTCAACAGCGTAGTCCTTGAGTTCGACAGAGCCGGGTCAGGTTCTGAAGATGTGATTGTACAAGCGAACACCCAATGCACTTGGTCTCGGCCTTTTATCCAATTGGGCAGACAAGCGCTAAGCCCTGGTGATGGCAAGGCTGGTCGGCACCCATCGGCTGGCTTCTTGTGGCACTGGGCTGCTTTTGCCAAGGATGACACAAACGTGCGGGGAACTCGGATCTCTGCGTCGCTGCAAAGCGTTTCCATCTTTCAAGACTTTCTCCAAATCATCCAGCGAATGATTGTCCTGCTGGTTTTCCTTAGCTCTTTCGACATAAGCGCCAAACCATCCAAACAACCGGTCGCAAAGACCTTTGGCGTGCTTCTCCACCCCAAAATTCATGGAGACTTCTGCCTGGAATTCTTTGACCAAATCAACAAGTTGCGGCACACTGCTTCATATGCTCTGTAGTGTGACCCAGGGTCAGAGACCAAAAACAACTGTTCTAACTGACGTTTGGTCCACCCGCAGTCCAAAACCACCCTGATCAGCAGGTTGCAGGTTTGTTCGAAGGCAAGTGTGGGAGGCAAGTGTGGTCAAGAATGTCAGATAGCACTAGGAAATACCTCGTTGAAATCTTGCTTTTCCCGTTTGACTTGGGATTCTCCACCACGCAAGCTCCCCACACACTCACTTCTATTCTGGCTGTGGCATACAACTGCTCTCCAGTGGCCTTGTGACTCATAGGAAGCGCAACCAACTCTTTCCAATCGCTGACTAGGGCGGCGGCGTTGCAGGGAGGGTTTGTTTGCAGAGACATCAGGGCAGGGTGTTGGTGCTCATTCGCTGCCTTGTGGTGATTGCAGCTGAGCAACAGTCGCAGCGTGGCCCGCAGCTCATGTGTCAATTCAGCTTCCAGACTGAAAAGGTCCACCCGTAGGTTCTGTCGGAAACCTTGCGCAACTCAAAAAGACCACATGGAAACACAGCGGGCGCAAAGCTTTTTCATGATGATGGGCAACGTAGTGCTCAAAGGCCCCCATTTCCAGAACAGGGTTGTGTTTGAACACAGCTCCCTTCATAAATTCATCCCAGGCTTGCCCGTAGTTAGGCATCGGCTTCTGAAGCTGCTCTCGACAGTCATCCATCATATCCCGGGCCTTGGGCAAAACTTTGTCATCATAGTCAGCGCAGTATTGGCAGTAGTCGCTGAGACAGCGTGGTATATTATATTGAAGTGGCAGAGGCCAGAGATGCTCCTTCATGACGCGGTCCATGGTCCTGGCAGACATGTTCTGGTAAAGGGTCAGCGCCTCCTCGAACAAGATGGCGCGGTCTTTTGTCAATGTCAGCATCAGCTCCACGATGACTACGACAAATGTTTGGGAGAATCTTGACTGCGCCCTTCCAACGCTGCGCAAAGTGCCTCAACGCAAGCCTTGCTGTTCACTTTGGTGACTCCCTTGGCCGAGGACGACTGCGGTTGCGACGCTTCTGCCACCTAGAAGCACCAATTGGGTATCAACCCCTCAGCTGAGCTGCGGCGGGAAAGATCTGGTGGATCAAAGCATCAACTTGATCACGGACTTGACGAACCCGATCTGGAGGGTTGGGCGCTTGAAACTCTGGCACTGCGCCGCCGCCAAGGCTGCGGACGAGGGAAGAACACATTGAGTGGGAGGGCGCAGCTTCTTCACTAGCCCTGTGGTGAATTGCGGCCAAACGCCTGAAACTTCTCGGCAACTACTTCAATGGCATCTTCCACAGAGGCAAAGCGGCGGAGGTGAGAGGATAGTACCTGGAGCGGTTTGCAGTCTTCACGTTGCGCTTTCGCTTTTTGCCGCTGGCTCGGATAGGGGGTGCAGATCTGACTGGTTGACTCAACTGGTGGAGACCGCTGGCGCACAAGGTAGGCTGGGAGGCAAGCTGGAAGACGAAGAGGCAGGGCAAAGGCTTTCTGATACCGCAGCCGCTACTGCATCAGACGCGCAATGGTTGCTAGGCTGTTCTGAATACCATATTTTTCATGCAGATCGCATAGGTTGTTCCCAGCCCTTTTGGACCGGTCTGTGCAACAAACCCTGAGATGGCAAGCTAGACACCACCCGTACGCGCAAGCAAAAGCTTACCAACAAAACCACACCTGACCATCACTTGCTCTTGCCTGTGCACTCGCAGCACTTGCAATC